CGACCTTGCGCTTGCCAGGCAGGCGCTTTGCCGCTGAGCTAAATCCCCAGCCCCTCTCTTTGTATATTCTTGATATTAGTCCTCTGTCCACAGAATAGCTAGCAAAATTTTTTCCTATTCATAGATTGTCTCTTCATTCTGCTGGTTGTTTCCTTTGTTGTGCAGCAGCTTTTTAATTTGATGCAATCCTATCTGTTGATTCTTGGTATGATTTCTTTTGCCACTGGGGTTCTGTTCAGAAAGTCCTTGCCTATTCCTGTCGAGTTGTACCTTTTTAATTGTACTGCTGATGTCTATTGGTATATTGATTGTTTGGTTTTGTTTTGGTACCGGAAACCGAACTCATGACCTCAGGCTTGCCAGGCAAGCGCTTATGCCACTGAGCTATATCCCCGGCTCTCTATTGGTTTATTGAAAGGACCAGTTAATGCTTAAATTTTATTTTTTGACCAATTTTGCAAGCTTATATCTGGTAATCTGAACAACTAATTTGAAAACAATATGCAATATAACAACCAGTTGAATTCCTACCATCTTGAGTGAAGCTCTATATCGTTTCTAAATTTTTTTTATTTTTTATTCTCTTTGATCAATCTTGCATTCTTACATCTGATAATCTGAGCAACTTCCTTGAATATGTAATATAACCATTGTTAATTTCCTATCACCTTGTTTTGAAATTGTGCATCATTTTCATTGTCCACCCCCCACCCCCGGGTACCGGGAATCGAACTCACGATCTTCTGCTTGCCAGGCAGGCGCTGTGCCGCTGAGCTAAATCCCCTGGCCGTTGTTTTATTTTTGTCTTTGTTGTTTTGTTTGTGTGTGTGTGTGTGTGTGTGTGTGTGTGTGTGTGTGAGGAATTGAACTCAGGACCATGTGCTTGCCAGACAGGCGCTTATGCCGCTGAGCTACATCCCCAGCCCTTTTTTCTCTTTAAAAAAAAAAAAAAAAAAAAAAAAAAAGTTGTACCTTTTTACCTTCCAGAAGATCGCTTGTTTTAACATTTTGGCAGTGGGTACCAGGAATCGAACTCAGGACCTTGAGCTTGTCAGGAAGGTGTTTGTGCCACTGAGCTATAACCCTGGCCCACTTCTATTTTAACATTAGGATCTTTGATCCATTTTTATTTTAATTTAGTACATGGTGAGACATACGGGTCTCGACTCAATCTTATGCAGGTGGATATCCAATTTTCCCAGCACCATTAAAAAAGCTGTCTTTCCTCCAGTGTTGTTTCTGTCTTCTTTGTTAAAGATCCAATAGCTGTATGAGCCTGGGGTGGTTTCTGCTGATTCTCTTTTGTTCCACTGATTCACATGCCTTCTTTTTGCACCAGTACCATGCCATTTTAATCACCATAGCTTTATAATGTAACTTCTAGTCTGGGATTATGGCCACTTTTGCTATTCTGGGTCTCTTCTGATTTCATATACATTTTAGGATTGCTTTTGCTAGCTCTGTGAGAAATGACATGGCTATTTTGATTGAAATTGCATTAAACCTCAGTTTGGGAAGTATAGCTATTTTATGTTAGGTTCTGCCTATCCAGGAACAGGGGTATCTTTCCATTTTGTTTTTTGGGTTTTTTTTTTTGTCTTTTTTTGATACAGGGTCTCGCTCTGCAGTTCAGGCTGGCCTTGAGCTCACTTTGTAGCCCAGGCTGGTCTCGACCTCACAACGATCCCCCTGCCTCAGCTTCCCAAGTGCTGGAATTACAGGCATGCGCCACCATGCCCAGCTCTTTCCATTTTCAAATGTTCCTGATTTTCTTTTTCAGACTGATATAATTTTCACTGTAGAGTTCTCTCACTTCCTTAGGTTAATATCTAAGTAATTTCTGATGCTATTGTGAATGGTAGTTTTCCTACTTGCCTGAAGTGAGTTCATTAGTGTATATGAATACTATTAATTTTTTAAATTTTGTATCCTGTTAAACTGTTGAATTTGATTATTAATTCTAGGAGACTTTGGAGTCCTGTAAATAAAAGATGTCATTTGCAAACAATATCTTGACTTCATCCTTTCCTATATGTAGTCCGTTTCTTTCTTCTTGCCTAATTTCTCTGGCTCATGTCTCAAGGACTACGTTTAATTAGTGGTAATAATGGACATCCTTGTCTTCTTCCTGGTTTTAGGAAAGCTTTTAGCTTTTCCCCCTTGAATATGATATTGGCAGGTTAGTCATAAGTGGCTTGTATCACATTGACAGACCTTCCATACCTATTTTCTCCAATGTTTTTATGCTGAAAAGATGTTGGATTTTGTCAATGGCTTTTTCTATCCAGATGAGCATGATTTTTGTCCTTGCTTCTATTTATGGGATCAATTATTTATTAATTTGCATTTGTTGGACCATTTTTTGAGGTTTATTGATTTTTGACGATCTGTTGCATTCTCTGCCGGTATCTTAAGGATTTTTGCATCTATGTTCACTAGTCTGCAGTCCTCTTTTTTGGTTGGATCCTTGTCTGTTTTGGGATCACGATAAAGTTAGCTTCAGAGAATGATTTTGGAAGGATTCCTTTCCTCTCAATTTCATTAAAAAGTTTGAAGAGTATTGGTGTTAAATCTTCCCTGACGTTCTTGTAGGTGAACGTATTAATAGGAGTTAAAAAAAAAAAGATGAATACAAGGCAGCACAGACCAAAGACAGGTTGTGTACTAACATAGGAGAAAAGGTTGCAAG